TATTCAGAACACAAACTTAAGAACTTTGGTTAAGGACAAAACACTCCTACCAATACACCATCATAATGTCAATAGATAATTATAATGAAGAATACAATATGTATGGTAGTGACTTACCATTGTGGTTGCATTATCTAAAAATGTTTTGTTTGTAGTTTAATTATAAAATCAAATGACATCTGTGAGACAGTTTCAAGCTAGATGTGGGTGTTTGAATAAATGGACTTACATTATTTAATATTTATTCCTCTTGCTCAACTCACACATGATTCAATACTCTCCTTTCAAGTAATTCGGATCACCCAAAGATCTCTAAAATCTCGTCTACAATATTTAAACATGTAAGTTTGGATTATACAAAAATAAGGGTGGATCTAATAACACTAAAAGGAGTGTCGTGAGACACGACTTCATCAAAAGAAAAATTATTAAATACATATATATATATATATAATTAAAAGATAGCAGAAGAACTATTACAATAATGTTGTGATAAGTTAATTTGATACAAAAGTATATGCCGTGCGGTTGGTAAGTGAAGCTTACCATTCGAGGGCCCTGAGTTTGAATCCAGACAAACTTATATTTTTTATTTATTTTTTCCTTTGTTTTTTCTTTTCTTTTTTTGCCTTTTATTTCTTCTTCTTCTTCTTTATTTTTTTCCTATTGTTTTTCTTTTCTTCTTTTTCCTTTTATGTATACTGAGATTATATTTTTTTAACAAAATTATCCAGAAATAGTTAATTTTTTGGAAAAGATGTAATCCCCCTTATACGAAAGGGGACACCGCTTGTAAAAAATTTCTACGTACACCATTATATACAAAGAACCATCTCTACATTTAAATACATTCGATCATTCATGAATTAACATGTAATAAATGCAATATAATAAATAAATTTGTTCCACTCACATAACCAACACAAAAAGAAAAATTAAACATGTATCATGCATGGTATTGAGGGGTGGATCCACACATACTCTATCAGGTGCTCGAGCACCCATTTTCCTTTGACAAATACATTACATATGTATATAAAAAATATTGAGAATTGATATGATGTTTTCGTGAGCACCCATTAACCAAAATGGATGATCGGTACTTTGGTTCTTAAGCTAAAGTTAAAGTATGCGTGAATACCCTTGAGTGCGAGGGTTTGAATCCTTGTACAGTCAATTTTTTTAAAAATATTCATCTACAAGATTATTAATATGTTTGAAGAAATGTCTCTTTGTGTGGGAAAATGGTCGAACTATGGGTGGTGATTGGCTGTGTTGTTTGAAGATATAGGTTTGCATTGTAGTTTGGAGGCTGAACCCATTAGTGACCATCTAAAGATGACATCAATTTTCACTAAGACATTTTAACTAGGCTTTGTTTATTTTAGACAATTTATGTCGATGGGTTCAACCTAGTTTGGAGGAAGGTATTGAAGGATGTAACGACTGGATTCCTTCGTTATAGAAAAGTCAATGGAAAAAATTTTAGGGGTCAAAAAACTCTTTGATAGTATTTGAATTTTTCCCAACCTAATCCAAATCTGGACAAAATCGGAGTCTTTAAGGTGTGGAAAATCTGATAACAATCGGGTGAATCGTTTATGATTTTGATTTCTTGAGTAGTTAGATAACTCGTTAAGTAATTCGTACGAACTTTAGAAATAGAATTTGGGTGAGTAGAACTCCCGTAATCGAACTTAAAGTACAGGGTTTTTTTTATAGAGCATCGTGGGTTAGAAGTGTGTTGTGAAATGAGGATTTTGGAATTTTTTAAAAAGTTCTCTGTTTCGTTTTGGCCATTTTGGCGCTAGGTTAGGCCTCTCTAGCAGGGCCTCTACAATGGGAAAGAGGAACTGTGGCGGGTACGACGAGACTTAATATCGTAGGTGAAAGACGAATGACTCATTGGTTCGAGAATGCCTCAATGGCGGGGATTTGGGTCGCTTTGGCGTCGCCACTACAACAGATGAGGGTCGTTGTGGCGGTCTAGGCGCGACTTAATATCGTTAATAAATTTCTAAACGATCTTATTTGACATTTTTTGACTTTTTGAGCTAAGTGACGAATCCCAGACGACTCCTACTCATTTTCATCATCCTTGAGGCTAAATGTAAGTTTTTCACTCCCCAAATCCGTTTTTTGATCCGTAGAATGCAATAGAATAGATTAATGATGATGGTGAATGGTTTTGATATAGATTCTACGGTAGATGAATAACCCTAAATTGGCTGATTGACATCATGGGTTTGACCTAGGGTTCATAAAATTCTTATAGTTTTGGGTAATTAACGATTGTTTGTTGATTCCCGTCTTATTTTGCTTGTTTGTAGACCAAGAACAAGCGAAACGAATTCGAAAATGAAATGATCAAGTTTCTAGGGTTTAAAGCATGTTTCGAGGTAGGTTATAGTTGTAATTCTATGATTCTGTGATGTATTCTTGTTATTACTTCATTATGATGCAGGTATGTGTACGGATGGTGCATTGTTGATTCACACTTGTTGTAAATGACCATGACTCACTTGAATGTATGACTTGGAAGTATACTTGTATTTGTGATTGTGGTGTGATGGATTGGATTGCCACGTTTCGGCATAACTACATGAGATCGGATTGTCACGTTCAAGCATAAAATGTAATCGAATTGTCACGTTTCGATATAAAAATGGATCGAATTGCCACATTCTGGCATAACTTTGGGATTGGGTACCTCTTTCCGATGCACTAATAGTTTGGTTTTGGGTTCCATGAGAGGACCAACTATTTGTGATAAATGTAAAATTTTGAAGCATATAATATTCAATATTATACATGTTCGATATATTACATGATTATATTGTTGTAATTAACTTGTTCATGTTGCACTTAGATTGATAGCCATGTGATCATACTAATACTGATAATGCACTTGCTCTTATTTTTGTTGAGTACAGGACATTTTTCGATAACTATTGGCGTACCTCGCTTAGAAGATCTGTGATCATTACTTCCAAATTCAAGGTGAGCTAGCATCTTTCGGGCTGCCATGGAATTTCCTTTAGTCTACATCCACCATTTTTGATTTTCGGACTTAGACATTACTCTAGCTTGTTGTTTAGCTCATTAGATTGGGGTTGCATCCATTCTTGTTTTAAACTTTATTATCATTTAATAGTTTTGGTACATTGACTTTCAGGTTCTAGATTGTTTACTTCCGTATTTGTTTAATTAGTTTTTTAGAATCCTTGTTGAAGTTTATAAAAATTTCTTAATTAATTTATTTAACTTGCTTCTGTAACTTAAATGCATTAGTTATTAATTTAGTTGCTTGAGTTTTAATTGTAATAGTGATTCTCCCACCAGAAGGTTAGTGTGGGCGTCAATTACGACAATTTAAACCGTAACAAAAGAACCATCAATAGAGAAAGATGTGAAAGATATGAGTGAAACTTCTCTAAGTCAAGTCATGTTGTAAAATAAATCATCCTTGTAATGTGCAAGATGGGGTCGGTGATATATCTACAGAACTTGGAGACGTGGCAGCCACAATAAGTAAGATAGCTTGTACTTGATTAGATGTGACAATGTTATAGGAAGAAATTATGACTATTGAAGGGAAAGGGCAGCTTAATGCCATTAAAAATGAGATATCTATCTTAGACCCTCAAATTTGAAAGATTCAATTTTTTTAGTAATAATAAAATTATTATAAACCTTTATCAATAAAAAAAATTGTTATATCTTTTAATTTATTTTGATATATTAAAAAAAAATTCTTTTTTATTAATTTTTAAATTTAACTTTCACATAATATGTCTGATACCATAAGATTAAAAAAATATTTTGATATATATATATATATATATATATATATAAAAATAAAGTTTTTCGTTAAACGAAAAAAATAACTTTACATGTTGTAAATAAAAAATAAAAAATAATAAAAAAGTTAGACCTCCAATTTATTTTTGATTTTATGCCACTAATGGAAGATAATGAGGAAGAGTTCTTAGCTGATGCTTTTGATCATTTGGTGTAAAATGATTCTTAAGTTAAGATATTCATGATGAAAAATTAAAATCTCCGTAATTGTTATTGGAACGATCCAATCTGCAACATAAGTAAATAGAATACACATGTATCGAAACTCGAAAGAACATCTTCTATTATTCATCACTGCGCAAACGGGATTATACTTTTATTTGCTTAAATTCAAATTTTGCATGTCTAAGCGAGTGCTGTTTTACCGGTTGACCATTTATTAGTTTCTTTGTTTAATGACTTTATTAGTTCAAGTAATATACCTTATTGAACTATCAAAAAATATTCAGAATTATATTATTAGATTTGGGGTGGGTGTGGCGAATCATAAGAAAGCATCATAATTTCGTGGGACAGAGCATAAGAAATATTTTCTTAAAAAGTCTTTCTAACTTACCAATTATATATGGAAAAATAAGCCAAAAGAAAAAACTCATTTTTAAGAAAAATATTTTCTTTTTCATTGAACACTTATAATATATTTATAATAAAGTTTTAATACACGAGAAAAATTTATAAAAATCACACTTTAATATATTCTTATACATTGTGTCACTTTTTTTTTCCCAAACAAGCATAGAATATTATAAGAAAAAACTGTTTAAATATACATGCTATTTTATCATAATCTCTAAGATTACCCATCATTTAAAAAGAAATATTCAAAAATCTCTCCTTGGATACATCATTCTCCTTTCGCTGATACATCTCAATTCCGTTGTCGAATATATCCCTCCCTTCTGGGATACATTCCTCACCTATGTATCAAGGTGTGTGTTGATGTATATGAATGTCCTATCCTTTCTAATACATCCCTTCTCTCTTGGTTACACCTCTCACATATATATTCAGAAATCCCTTCTCTCTTGGTTACATCTCTCACATATATATTCAGAAGTCCAGTGATGTATCCGTTAGTCTAGTGATATTTCAAAATTTCTAAAAGGGATTTTTGTAATTTGAAAAAGAGTACAGGAAAATAATGTAACTAGCTCTTAACTCCAAATAAGAAGTACTTCTTTTGTCCCGTTTAATATAGCACACTTTCTTTTTTAATCTGTCTCGAAATATAATGTAAAAAAAAATTAACTTCAAAGTTTTGCTTTTACCTACAATGAAATGAGGTATAGACACAAATACAACGAGATAGAAGGAGACAACTGATTAGCAGAAACAATTTTGTCTGAAGCTGCCTATACTTATCAGTCTGCCTTTTTTTTAAAAAAAATAGATACATGTTAAACAGGAGCGACGAAATAGGGTACCCGGTGAAACTTTCTGTTGCATTTCCGGTCTGAGGTTACCATGGGCCTGATAGTCCATGACTAATACGGTACCTGGCACAAACAAGAATTTTCCCAATTTTGAGCAAGACATATGGACTAGTCAGGCGCAAACAGTAGAAACTAGAAAATCCATATAACATTCTCTTTTTTTTTTTGGAAAATCAATATCAAAAAACACTAGAAGAATAGAACAGATCCAAATGTTTGGGCACTTAGGTGCTGTACAAACTATAATAGATGGTTTGTTCCAAGTGACATTCAAAACCAAATGGTATGTACAGAGCGGAAGAGAATTAAAATCAAAGTATAGCAAACAAATATATTTGCAGAAATTAGTAGGAATCCTTTAGGCGTCTAGTCCTCTCAAACAAGTACCAACAATGTTGTTGACAGTTTAACACAGATATCAGCAAGAAGAGAAACCCTGGCATCTTGTACCAGCAAAAGACTAACCACTGTTCTGCAAAATGACAAGAAAGGATTTGTGTCAAACTTTCAGACCATGCATCTCAATTTGACACTCTTAGAATGCAATAACCTGAAGTTCCTCTCAGCAAAACGAAATGTTCTCATTTTTTCCTTTCTCTCAAAGATACTGATTTCCTAATTTCTTATCAGTTTCCAAATAAATCACATTTAGACAGCCTTTTCTTAAAAACACTTTCAGAGCACGTTAGAAAGAACCATAAACTGACAAGTATTTACACAACCTACTCTTAGTCCTGCAATCACAATTGGGACTCTCCATAACCCTCAGTTCCACACAAGAATCCAACATCACTTCTCGGCCTGTCATTAAAGTACATGAATAACCAGTTCGAAGTTGGCGCAGAGGGTGATATATTTAAGGTCAAGTTTGTGTTTGTGCATGATGGTAAGATCTGGTTATGATTAAGGACAAAATATAATCAAGCTTGGCAGGTTAAGGTGGTTTATTATGGAAAAATTGGGTACCACTACAATGTTGGTTTTGCTCTTTTTACTTCTGGGAAAAGTAATCTAATAAGGTGAAAATTTTACGTCACCAAACATAGAGGGGGAGGGGGGAGTTCGGAAAACTTGACACAGTTAAAATTAAAAAATTCACATAAAGAAGATATGGAGTAGAAGTGGTTTACGATTGCACTAAGTGTGGGCAAGCATGTCACAGAACAAATACAGGCAAGCTTGATGCTATGATGGCAAGCATCGGTTTTTTTTTTGGTTGAATATATAGGCAGCCTCCTAATTGCCAATTTTATTTTTTCATTTTGACAGCTAAATGAAAAACTTCTCAGCGATGTGTTTTTCTCTGTAAAAAGAGCAAGACCAGTAAGAAAAACACATCACTGAGAAACAAACGCCAAAAAGAAAAAGAGAAACAATGACGAAAATCGATAGATTCTCTTATCATGGGCACTCAACAAGCATTGTGTCGCCACTGTAGTCCCTCACTAGGAAAGTGCTTTAATGGCCATGTCCACTGGTTCATTCCCTCACAACACCACCTCTATCACAGCTTACAATTGTCCTCCGTCGATGACTATAGACGCCCATTAGGTCCTTGGGCCTAGATAATCTATCTTTTGCCTCTGAAATTGTTCTAAAATTTTGAGAATTTCATGGGTTACTGGAGAAAGAACTTGCATGGGTTTCTTATGGACATGAACTTAAATGGTGAAGGTGTGGGCTTTCATTCGGTTTCAGTTTGGGCTTGGGCTTGGGCTTTGCGGTGGTGCCAATGCCGCAAAGTGGAGGAGGAGCTGGGTGGGACAGTAATAGAGGTAGTTTACATGGCGGTGGATGTGGCATAGTGACGGTGGATTGGAGGCCATTTGCAGCGGCTACAGCGGTCGAGATACAGTGGAAAATTAGTAGATTGAAGAAAAAATTTGAAAAATGCCTTGTCAAAAAAATAAATAAATTGAAAAATGAATTTGCACACTCTCATAAGTGGTGTCACACTGTACCAAGTAAGAAATTTGTCTTCACTTCAAGTGCTCAGTAGGTACTTTACTTGGCTTAAGTGTAAAAATGGAGAGCAAAAAAAACAAGTTTAAGGGGTCACCTATGTATTCAGCTTTTTTTTGGGTATGCATCCAAAGTTCTTTGTTCATCCTACATGAACAAATAAATAAGTGTGATTAGAAACTGAATAAGCTACAAGGAGAAATATGCCAATTTGAATAATCTAAGAGCAATCGAGCCTCAAGAGTGCCATAACATGCTGAGTTGCTGACATTCATGTAACTGTAAAAATTACAAAAGAAACACAAGTGCCAAGAACAATTGAAGTCCATTGGAGCTATGTTTCTTGGACCCTTCAAAATCCTTGACACATCCATGATCGATTTGGTTGTGGGTGTAGCCATGTAGGTGTGGGATCCACATCAAATTCAATCAACTTAACTTGAGTGTTTTGACTGCATTTATAATCAAGAAGTATAGATCGATCTGGTATTTAGTTTATTTTTTGGGTTTATATTCATATATATAGCTATATAAAATAAGATAAAATTTTGGTATTACAGGAGATATCTTATAAATAAGATAATAGATATCTCGGATCCGTACCCTGAATCCTAAAATTTATATGATAAAAAATCCAACCTTCAGATCCACACTTGTATCGCATACCCATACCCGGCTCCGAGCAAGTGTTTGAGAAGAGCCTAAATGCAACCTATGTGGCATTGTTCCCCAAGAAGGTGGGAGTTGTGGAACTGAGAGATTTCAGACCTATAAGTTTGATAGGTGGAATATACAAGATCATTTGCTAAGATACTAGCACAAAGGTTAAAGAAAGTGATCAGTGAGCTTGTTATTAAACACCAGATGGCCTTCATAAAAGGTAGGCAGATTATTGATGCAGCACTTATAGCAAGTGAGTGTGTGGACATCAGAGTTAAAGGAGATGATCCAGGAATTATGAGCAAGCTGGACATAGAGAAGGCTTACGATCATGTCAATTGGGATTCCTTATCAGGATTCTAAAACAAATGGGTTTTGGGGAGAAATAGCTGAATTGGATCGATTATTGCATAAAAACTGTTAGGTTTTCCAATTAGTGAATGGAGAACCTGCTGGTTTTTTCCCATCCGAAAGGGGTTTAAGGCAGGGAGACCCACTCTCTCCTTTCTTTTCATCCAAGCGATGGAGGGCTACAATAGTATGATGAGAGTAGCTACCCAAAACAATTGGTTAAAAGGCTTCAAGGTCCGCAACTCTTGAGGAAGGGAAATGCAGATTTGTCATCTGATTTATGCAGATGACACAATTACTTCCAGTGAAGCCAAGGCTGAACAGGTTGCCTTTATAAGAGTGACTCTGGTGGTTTTTGAAGCAGTCTCGGGTTTATCTATAAATTGGAGGAAAAGCAGCATCTTTCCAATTAAAGAAGTTCCTCAACTTCAGAGCCTGGCAAGGATATTGGGTGTAAAGTAGAACAGCTTCCCACTACTTACTTGGGCATGCCATTGGGGCACAATCACAAGGAGCTAGAAATTTGGGGCGGCATAATTGAAAAGACAGAGAAGAAATTGGCCAATTGGAAAGCTCAGTATATCTCTTTGGGAGGGAGAGTCACTTCAGTAAACTCTGTGTTGGACTCTCTTCCAACTTATGTTATGTCTTTATTCCCTATGCCTGCCAAAGTGGAAGAAAGACTTGACAAACTGAGAACAGATTTCTTGTGGAAGGCAATAAAGAAGGGAAGGGTTTGCATATAGTCAAGTAGCAGACTGCACAGTTACATAAACAATCTTGCACAGTTACATAAGCAATCTGGTGGACTTAGAATCAGAAACTTGGGGTTGCAGAAAAGATGTCTCTTGTCAAAATGGCAATGGAGGTTCAACACTAAGGAAGAAGCACTATGGAGGGAGGTGATAGTCAACAAGTACGGGTTGAATGGAAATTGGGTCTCCAACTCTGTGAATAGCAGTTATGGGGTGTCAGTTTGGAGAACAATAAGAAATTTGTGGACGATCTAAGTAGAAACATAGTCTACACGGTGGGAAACGGGACGAGAATCCTATTCTGGAAAGAGAATTAGAATGGAAATGAGACACTGATAATATTATTTCCTGACCTATTCTCCTTGTGTACAAATCCGGACGAAACAGTGGCTGGGGTTTGGTCTATTTATGGATGGAATATTGTGTTTAGAAGGCATTTAAATGACTTACATGTTCTCAATGGGTTATCGGCAGAAAAAGATTCTATCATATGGAAACACTCAAGAGATGGTAGCCTTTCTGTTAACAAGCTATATATTAAGGAGGTGAAGGAGCATCCAGGTGGTAAGCTTGGCCCCTGGAAGCAGATTTGGAGGAACAAGGTGCCAACCAAGGTAAAGTGTTTCTCTTGGTTGGTTGCCAGAAGAGCATGCTCCACACATGAGAAATTGAAAAGGAGGGGTTTCTATGTTGCCTCTTAGTGCTCTCTCTGTAATGAGACTGAGGAAACCAACAACCATTTGTTCCTCCATTGCGAAGTGACAACACAATTGTGGTACATTTTTTTGGGACTAGCACATACAAAATGGTTTATGCCTGAGCATACAACAGATCTACTTAGTTGTTGGATCAACAGAGGGGGGAGAAAATCTAAGAAAAAGTGGAGTATAATAACATCATGCATTTGGCGGTGTATTTGGAAAGAAAGAAATAGCAGATGTTATGATAGCAAAGCTAATCCAATAGAGAAAGTAAAATGGAACTCTGCTTGACTACTTTTTATTTTTAGTGTAAAGAGGAAGGAATAGAAGAAGCTGCACAAATTTTGGATTTTATAGGCACTTTGTAATCTATTAGCATCACCTTTGTTTTTTCTCCTGTGGGAAACTAATTATTGAAGGTCTCCAACATATCCTTGATGCTGATGTATACAACATTATCTTTATCAATTTTTTTTTTAGATAAACTCAGAAGAGACTTCCTTTGGAAAAAAGGCAAAGAAGTAAAGGGCTCCATCATTGTATTCAAAAGGAAGTTTCTTCTGAGTTTATCGAATCTTTTTTTTTCTGATAAAGATAATATTGTATTCATCAGCATTAAGGATATGTTGGAGACCTCCAAAAATTAGTTTCCAACAAGAGAAAAAAACAAAAGGCTAATAAATTACAAAGTGCCTATAAAATCTAAAATTTGTGCAGCTTCTTTTATCCCTTCCTCTTTGCACCAAAAATAAGAAGTAGTCAAGCAGTTCTATTTGACTTTCTATTGAATTAGCTTTGTTATCATAGCATATGTTATTTCATTCTTTCCAAATACACCACCAGATGCTTGATGGCATTATACTCCACCACTTTTTCTTAGATTTTCTTCCCCCTCTGTTGATCCAGCAACCAAGTAGTTTTGTTGTATGCTCAGGCATTCTGTATGTGTAAAACAAAAAAAAAGGTTCCACAATTGTGTTGTGACTTTGCAACGGAGGAACAAATGGTTGTTGGTTTCCTAGTCTCATTACAGAGAGAGCACCAAGAGGGAATATAGAAACCCCTCCTTTTCTATTTCTCATTGAAGAATACTACTTACCAATTGTCAAAAAAAAACTGACTCGTTCTTAATGGTTTTTCTCTCCATTTTAATTTCATGACATGAATAAAAAGTCAAAATACCGAGATAGCACCTTGAACTTGACAAAAACTTTCTTTTAGATGAGAGCGACCAACGGAACACCTGAAGTACGTGCAAATTGTGCCTATTGAACACAACAATGAGGGGTTGTTTGGTATATAGGATAACGAGAGTTAATCCCGGTATAAATTTTGAGTAACATTTAATTCCTTGTTTAGTTACGAAGTTTAGGATAACTTATCTCAAGGTTAATAATTAGTATGGGGATAAAGTTATCCCAATCTTTGGCTGGAATTGTAATTTCGAGATAAAATGACAAAGATATCTCTTTAAATACTTTTTATATATCACTTTTCACATTCATGTATATTCACATTATTTTTAATACCATGTACAATATGACATTCACAACCTTCACCACTTCTTATTGTTATGATAATTCTTTATATTTGTCTATTAGATAATTACATTGTACAAATATAATTTTTGTTTATGAATTTATTTGCCTAGTTCTAATGGTTACTTATATTTTGATTTCCCTACAGTTGAATTACATATATTTAATTGTATATTATTTTAGTCACTTGAAAGCTTGTATTTTGTACATCAATTAAAATGGAGTTAATTTTAATATGTTACTATTTAAGAGATATGCTCTCAAATGAAGCAATACAAATAATAAATACTCATTTACTTTAACTAACATAAGATGGAAGTTCTATTTAGCCTAAATAAGAAGAAAGATTTTATTTTAAAATACATTTTATACCATCATGAGAATGCACACACAAAAATATTTAAGTGAAATAAGATGAAAGTATTATTTTTAAGAATGAATAAGTAAAACTTGCAAAGAAATGTAAAAAACTAACAAAGTGAAGGTTATTTTTGTAAACAAACAACTTCTTCTTAAAATTTATGCAATGCACACTATTTTGAATATAACCAAACCATCAATAAGAAATAATCTCAGAATGAACAATCCCAACATAACTAATCCATCATTACTAATCACAGTATAACTTATCCCATCATAATTAATTTAATCATAACTTCAAACCAAATGACCCCTAACAGTCACCAAATGTGGGTGACATTGCCTTGTGCTTTTTTGAAAATGAGTTGGACACCGAGATACCACCAGCGATCGAAAATCATTGGACACTTCGGAAACTAAACTCTATACCAGATACTACAATACTTCCTTTTTGTTGAAGATACCACCCAAAAATAGTGAACTTACAACAACTAATCTGGCTTGATGCCTATCAATTGTAAATTGTCTAGCTAGACTCCACCAGAGATAGCAAAGCTTCAAAACTTAAAAACCTTTTCCGGCAAGTCAATATATTTTCTAGGTTTATTATGCCGAAGCTGGGTAATCCAGTTGAAGCCTATCGATTTCTGGCATAACAAGCTCTTTGGTTAAGTACCGGCCATTTACATAGGTTAAGAATGTCTTTGAAGAAAAGTTCAGGTATTTCCTTTATGTGTTTGTGATAAAATTGTAAGTATGTCATGTTTGCTCCTTAGTTGCATGTCAGGGTCTGATTTTCTGAAATTAATGTGTGAAAGATATACTCACAAGTTATGCTAAGAAACATTATGTTGGGATAAGTTATGCTAGGATTAGTTATGCTAGGATTATCTCTTATCCTGTCTCGTTTGTTATATTCAAAATGATATGCATCGCATATTTTCTAAGAACAAATTATTTGTTTATAGAAATACCCAGTTTTTTATATTTTCTTTGCAAGCTTTGGTAATTTATTCCTAAAAATAAAAATTTCATCTTATTTGACTTAATATTTTTGTGTGTTTATTTCCATGATTGTGCCGTATGTGTTCAAAAATAAAGTTCTCATCTTATTTTATTTATGAAATAAAAACTTCCATATTATTTAGCTTAAAAATAAAACTTTCATTTTATTATTTATGTCACTTCACTTAAACACATATCACTCTTAAACTGTAAAATATTAAAGTTAAACTTCATTTTAATTGATATATAAAATACAAAATTTCAAGTGACTAAAGGAATAATTAATTAAAAACATGTAATCTAGCAGTAGAGAAATCAAAATATGAATAAAGATAAAAATTGGTTAAATGAATACAGCATATAATATATTCATAAGTAAGAATTATATTTATAAAGTGTGAATTTTTAATGGAAAAATATGAAGAATCGTCATAAAGATAATGAGTAGTGAAGATTGTGAATGTTATTATGCATCATATCAAAAATGATGTGAATATACATGAATATGAAAACTAAAGAGTGATATACAAATAGGGTTTAAGGGGATACTTTTATCATTTTACCTAGTTTATCTCGGGATAAGTCATCTGATATTACTATTCCACCCAAAGATAGGGATAACTTATCCTAGTACTAATTACTAATCCTGGAATGGAGCTATGCCAAACTTTGAAACCAAATAAGGGATTATCAAGAGTACTCAACAATTATCAACAATTATCCCAGTATTAAGTTCCCTTATACATATCACCAAACGACCCCTTAGTAGTTTATCCATAAGATAGTTCATATAAAAACTAAGTGTTCTAGTAAATATCTAAATATATATAGAACATAAGCAAAACAAATACCTAATCAACATATACTTCTTCGCCATAGATTTCGTCAAAGCACCCACGATACATTTGACCAAATCAAATGTGTCGATCCCACATGGATACCAAATTGTGTAGGATTGACATGGTTGCGTGTATTTTGAAGGATCTCATCAACACAGCCTCGGATTGTAATTCTGAGATCGCGAATTAATGGGTACTCATTTCAAGGCTCACTAGTTGTAGGTAACACAAGTATGTGAAACATAAATAGACAATTAAGGATTCTTAATAATTTAAGCTTCCCTTGCTCATCCGGCCACTCGCTATTCCAACCCTTCCCGGCCCAAAAGCCCCTCAAAAGAAAAATAATTGAGCCGAGGGTCTTTCGGAAACAACCCCTCTACCCCCATAAGGGAGTGATAAGGTCAGCGTACACTCTACCCTCCCTAGACCCCACTTAGTGGGATTTTACTGGGTATGTTGTTGTTGTAATTTGCATATATTATCGGACTTGTGGAAACAGCAGTATTTTGGCTTCTTTGCAATATTTTACTTGAATATATAAGGGAGTTAATTGCTTCTTATTTCGACAATGACTTATTTCTATAAGTGTTGCATTAAGGCATACTGCAAAGATAGAGAGAATGCTTTGACAATCCATCAAAAACTCTATATTTTGGACATCATGGAAGGGAAGGACCAAAGCTAAGTTGAGGGAGTTCCAGCTACCATTTCTTCCATGAAGGCTAGTTTCTTAGTGAATCTGTTTGGCTGGAGCAATCATTGTAATGGAAATAAAATAATGTTAATCAGTTTTGGAAATTTGTTGGCTCTAGGTTTATTTATAAATGAGTCAATGTTACTTTCTAAAATGTAGCATCGACTGATGCAACAGAGCAACAAACTGTTTGTTGCCTGATATAGAAAATGTGTCACAAAACGCAAAAGAGATCCTGCTAAGTCATGACATGAGGGTTGAGTTTATTGAAGAGAAGCTGCCTGTAAAACATTTAAAGATGAAAAGCACATCATTAAAAAGACTTTTTGGGTACGAGAAAAACTTACTTAAAATTCATAATTGGGAGTTTCCATAGTCTAAGCCTTGTGCAAAAGAACCTTCATACATGAACTGTCAATTTCCACAAGAAGTATTGCGTGTCTTATTAGATAATATCCACGTAAGAACTACTAAATGGTGAAGCAAATGAGCTAAAGAAAGAACAAAATAAAATACAACCACCTTACCTGCGTATTGGACCCAAGCTGACATCCAACTACATCTTTTCTAACAGATGCATCACCAACCCTTGCAGATCCCTTGGCATCTCCCTGATATTAGTTTCAAATCACAATACAATTTTAATGAAAAATCAGAGATGCAGAAAATAAGGAAATCTATCTCAGTGATGTGGAGAACTGTGTACCTCCATCTACAACACCATTGATTGACCCATGCAACCCAGCAGAGAAAATTGTCCAGGAACCAAAGAAACAACATTTACTTAGTTGATTATGAGAAAAAACTCAATTGAACAAAACCTTAAAACAACAATAGTGCAGTCCATATAAACCAAAAATACACAGTGCAACATTAAGAAGATGGCAATTGGCAAATGCAATAGTCCATATATTCTTTTATCAATTTCCTCGCAAACCAAATAATGAGGAAGCCTAATAGAACATAAAATAAAGACAATAAAGCGGTTCATATGAGAAACCAGTCCCAAAACCACTAAGGGCGTGAAGAAGAGTTGCATTTACCTCTCTGTATCGAGTCAAATAGACCTTCAGTGGTTCAATGTAGTCCTCAAATCCCAAGGTAGCCAGGGCTGATAGTAAATCATCTCCGTTGATCGTCTTTCTCTTCTCTTTCTGACACTTGTCACTAGCTCTATAAAATAAAAGAGAACTCATTTGAAAAACAAGCAAGAAGAGTGGTTGTTACTTCCAAATGTCATCATTCTACTAAATCTCAGTATGTATACGTATGGAAGTCCACCCTCTGACAACAAACATTTGAAAATGTAACACATGTCTTCTACTTCTACACAAGTACCCACACATATATTTGGACTCGAACTTCCAAATACTGGCAACGTCTTTCCATATATTATTTATATAAAGACATCTAGATCAAATATACAACTTTTATTGAAACTGGTAAAACAACATCTAATGTAAACGTATATGATCCAGAAAAAGAAATAGCAGTAAAACAATACCATCCATAAGATATTAGCTACGTAGATACTTTTAAAGAAAGGTAAATATCATGTTCAAAATGACATTGCGTATGAGCTACGAGACCTAACAGTAAAAGGAAAATATTTGATCTCCCAAATTCTGATACACACACGACTCTGAACTCAGACTAGTGGAAAGCTAGCATGCCATGAATTTGATAGAATGGCATAATTAGGACATGTAACCTTGTCAAAGAAAGGTAAAATAGGAAAGAGGACTTGTATTTTTAGCGAAGGAACTGCAGTGCGAACATCTAAACAGGGATATAAACAACTAGGTATGGCATGATCACTTGAATAACAATGCACAGAGCAACTCAGCACAATCACAGGCAGAATTGCAGCACTGGATACCTTCTACTATTGGGGATATTTTCCTACGAAAAACAAAGAAATAAGGGTTTTCTTGACAATAGCCTTTTTTTTAACTCACAAACCGAAAAGCAAAAGCAGCTATTCAATTTGGGTCAACTATAATCCATTCTTAAAAAATGTCACAAGTACAAACAATAAAGTCTCTGACAATGCATTGCATTCCAAATTTTCTTAGTGAACATGGGGAAGAATTGTCACACACACCGTGTCGTTCTTTTTTATGGATTTGCCATCGAAAGTGGTTGATAACATGCTTCCATGCCCACCTTATTTCCATTTTATTTTTGCATTCCTCCCTCCGTACTTCTCCTCCATGTACTACTATTCTTGTCCTCCCCTTTTTACATGTTTGTCTTAAGGGCTTCATTAAAATGGCAGGTAACTCTACCCTACCTATCGTATTGTCAAGTCCTCTTTTCCCGTAATATTTCCACTCAAATAGATGTGTTTTCCCATATTAAGGACACCATGCATTTATGATTCCCTTGTCTACTAATTGTCAACACATCTTTCATTGTGCTCTTTTTCCCCGTACGGAGCAGAAGGTGACAACATGTCTATGATTATCCAGCCTCGTAAATGCCATGCCCAATTCAGCTTGATATTGCTAATCATTGAGGAGGTGGCAGGCATGAAAAATGAAAAGGGATTAAACAAACAATTACAGCAGCCAAGGAAGAGTGGGATGGAATCTCCAGTGGGGAGTTTTGGTTGTCATGTAATTCATGGAAGAGTCATAACCATATATCATAAAGTAAGCTATTACCTACCAACCTTTGTTAATTGCTATGGACTAAACACCAACAAGCAGTGTTCAGGGAAGCGTGAAGCGGTAAAAAGCGATAAGGCTATGCTTCACGCTTTAGGCGATGAAGCACTCGCTTTAAGCGATGAAGCGCACACATACTCATTCTAGTCTGTGAAGCGTAGAAGGCTCGCATCACTTCGCTTCATCGCTTTCCTGAACACTGCCAACAAAACATCCTATTGATGTTGAAAGAAATCTTTCTAAGGGTTATCTTTATCATGTATAAAAAATTTGGGAAAGGAAACACAAGCAACACCACGAAAAATTATAACTCTTAGAGACTCTTGAGCTAAAAAGGTATACGAAGTAGTTATCCATCTCCATACACATCAAAAACACAAAACAAAAATAAAATAGAAACTCTAAAATGGAACCATCTGTGCCTAAAGGAATTCCAATAAAATTTCTTGAAATGATAGACTACCAAAATTATAAACATCCATGCATAGAGTTTAAAACTTCAAAAGTTACCCAGTACAATGCCACAAAACCTCAATTGACATAGCGATCTTTAAGAATTAGTATAAACTTACTATAAAAATCACATTCCTCCATTTCAGAATGTACAATTGAACACTGAATACAGGTAAATAACACATTTCTATAATTCACTGAAGCAATACAGACAAAATAGTAACTCTAAATGGAACTGTATGTGTCTAAAAAGGAATTCCAACAAAATTTATTGACATGATAAATTAGAAATATTATAAACATCTGATTTAAAACTTCGAAACTTACCCAGTACAATGCCACAAAACCTCAGTTGATCTTTATGATTCAGTTATAAACTTACTATAAAATTCGCATTAGTGCATTTTAACATATAGAATCGAACCATGAAACGAAATAGAAGCTTACTCGCTAGTAATAAAACTGATGAACTCAGATACGCATTCCTGAACCGTGTCTTTAGAATCCTTAGCGATCTTCCCATTAGCAGGCAATGCCTTCTTCATTATGCGTCCAATATTAGCGATCGGTAGGTACCTATCCTGTTCTCGCAAGTTGGACTGAGGACTCGGGTCACCGCCACTCTCATGGCTTCCGCCGCCGCCTCCTGGACTTGCCGGCTCCGCCATTCTCAGTGTACCGGAACCCTAAATCTATGGATGATCGTAGGTAGAGGTTGATCAAACAGAATATTTTGTTAAGTTTTGTTTGACAAAGGAATTTGGCGGAAAATGGATGCTGAGCTTTAATGGCTTTCTGCGCTATACACAGATCCAACGGCAGGGACAGCCGTAAGAAGAACCTATTTTTACGCACAAGGCCTATACTTTTTTTTTTTCTCTACTTCATTTTATATATATATATATAAAATACATAAACATGTTCTTTAATTTAGTCTAGAATAATATGGATTAAATGATATCCATAAACTATTCGTTCCGCTCAAAACTATTCTTTCTGTCATACTATTGAGTCAAAATTATCTTTTTTATTAACAAAAGTTGTTAAATGCCACATGAATACCATATGAATGTCACATTGCATGCCAATAGTATTTCACTGTCACGTAGACTAAATATAAAGGGACAAAATACTCTTAAGTTATCCGAAATAGCTCATATTTACATTTAAACTATATTGCGGCTCAAAATTACCCTTCACGTCAAACTATTGAATCAAAAGTACCCTTCTTATGAACAGAAGTTGTTAAATGTCATGTGGATGTCACATTTCATGCTAATAAGGTTCCATAGCAACATAGACTAAATCCCTAAATCCTAATTACTTCCCCCCTCATTTCATTATTTCAGAAATGATATATTCACTCGTTCTCCCTCATTTCGCGGCTAGGGTTTCATACTTTTCTTCGTAGCTAGGTTTCAAAGTGGATATTCGTACTTGTAGGCTAGTAAATATTTTTTTCTTATTTTATTATCTTTACGATTTCAAAGCATGATATATAGGATTTCATAATTTTCCCCTAATTTCGCAGCTAATGCTTCGTAGCTTTCTTCGGGGCTGAGTTTCAAAGTGGATATTCATAGTTATAGGTTAGTAAATATTTTTCTTATTTTATTACGTTTACGATTTTAAAGTATGATAGTTAGAATTTCACAACTTTTACGTCATCTCACGGCCAAGGTTTCATAACTTTTTTCGGAGCTGAGTTTCAAAGTGAATTTTTGTGATTGTAAACACAATAAAATAAGAAAAAACTTTACTAACCTATAACCACGAATATCCACTTTGAAAACCAGCGAAGAAGAAAACTGTGAAACCTTAGCCATGAAATGAGGGAGAAGGGGTGAAATCGTTTCTAAAAAATAATGAAATGAGGGGAAAATGAGTAATTAAAATTTAGGGATTTAGTCAATATGACACATGTGGAATTTAACAACTTCCGCCAATAAGAAGGTCACTTTTGAACCAATAGTTTGACGAAAAGGGTAGTTTTGAGCCGAAATATAGTTTAAGGTAAATATGATCTATTTTGGATAGTTTAGGGGTACTTTTGACCCTTTTTCTTTTAGTCTATGCGGCAGTGAAAATCTATTGGGGTGCCATGTAGCATTCATGTGTCAACTACATGGCATTTAACGATTTCCATTAATTAGAAGGGCACTTTTGAGTCAATAGTTTGACGGGAAGGGTAGTTTTGAGCCAAAATATTGTTTAAGGGTATATCTGAGCTATTTTAGATAGTTTAAGGGTATTTTGAGCCTTTTCCGCTCATAAAATTATTCGCATAATTCACTTATACATCTCATCTAACACTAGTATCTATTGAACAGTTGTACCTATTCAAAAATTGTTCCTGTTAGATATTATTTTGATAATCAACCAAAAAAAAAGAAAAATAAAAAGTGTGTGATACATTTGTGCTGAATGACCAAACGAGTAATTAAAAAATGGCATGTGTCATTGGGTCCCCAAAATTATTTTTAAAAAATTATTTAAAATTATTTCAACCATATTTTATATCAATTTTTTAAAAAAATGATGAAAATGTCAAGTAATTTTAAGAACCCCTCCTTCACCCGTAACCGTCTTTCATTTTCATCTTCTTCCAAAAATATATTTTTTCTCAAGTCACAAAACCTTTCCTTTCAACTTCATCTTCTTTCCAAAACACATTATTTCTCAAATCGCAAAACCTAAGATTATTTTTTTTTTAAAAAAAAGATACATTGTCATACTAAGAGTGAAGAAGAAAGAAAATTTTATCGGCGATTATTCATCTCTACATCGATGACAAAAAAAAAATTGATAACTAAAAATTAATTCTTTTAAATTTTTGAATATCATTTTTGATAAATTTAATGGGTTTATATTTGAATTTGAGTAAAACTATTTGTTCGAAAATTGTAATTAAAAATATCGACTAACTTTTTTCATACTAAAATTATTTATCTTCTTTCTTCTTCTTCATATTTGTTCCATTACTTATATGAGATTTGAAATAAATCATTCAAAAAAAAGTCTTTCTTTCATATTTGAATAGTATGATTTCTTTTTAATTGATTTTCATTTATCTTCAGATTTAGAAAAATTATTTTTTTTATGTATAAAAAAGAGAGATAAACAATGTCGGAGCTAAAATGGAGAAAGTTTTGCAAATTAAATTTTGAGGAAGATGAATAGTAGGGGGTGGGGTGCTCTTCTTCTTTGAAAAAAAGTGTAAATGAAAGAAGAAAAAACGTTTTTAAGTTAACTAAAGTGCTCAAGTGTAAATAAAAGAAGAAAAAAATATAAAAAAAAACGCTAGTTTGAATCTTTTCACACGCTTCAGGGAAGTGCAAAACATATTCTTTGCCAAATCAGTGTTTTATGTTTAATAGGTACATGTTTTGAGCAATTTAAGTGCTCGATAGGTACAAGTTCTAGTTAAGGTGTCTAAGTGAATTAAGCGGACAACTTTAAGGGGTTGTCGATGACTTAATTTAGTATTTATATTCATATAAGGCCAAAGTCATATGCGGCCCCTCAAACTTGTCCTCATTATTCATTTAGACACCTTAACTATACCTACTACCTATTGAACACCTCTACCACCCCAGATTTGAACCGTACAACCATTTTTTGCCTACATGACAAATCATTTGTGAGTCACGCAAATGGGGCGCGTGAATTGGTTGTTCTCTCATTTTTTACCCTACCTTTAAGACCTTCAGTGTTAACTTTATATTTCAACGTTAAAGTTAAAGTGAAATCCCAATTCTTCTTTCCAAAATCCATTTTAGAACCCTAAATCCTCAATTCTCTCTTCTTTTTCTAAAGGCAAAAGTATTCATTACCCCCCTGAGCTTGAAGTTTTTTATTCTGTGTATACCTAAACTTTATTTTGTTTCAATTACCCCCCTGAACTTGCTTATTCATCCAACACATACACCTTTTCTGTCCACCTGGCATAGAAACTAAAATCAAACTTTACAAGGCGCGTGAGACAGCGATTTTTTGCCACATCATGAAGTTACAACAGTAATATACGTAAAAAATTTATTTTTTCTTTAATATTTGGGTTATTTTAAGAATTTTTCTCTCTTTATTCTCTAGAAATTTATTCTTCTTCATCCCTTCTCCCTTTTCAAATTTCAGATTTTTTTTTCACTTTTTTATTTTAATTGTTATTGCTAAATTCATGAATTGTAACTAGAGACTTGTATGTTTATGTGGGGCTCCTCCAATTCTGAAAATTTCATGGACAAATGACAATCACAGACGTAGATTTTTCGGTTGTAGACACTATGGGGTATGTATTGTTACTCCTTTTTTGCTTTTTATTTGACAAGTTCGTATTATGCAATTTCATTTTTTTAAACTTTGATTTTATGAAATGCAGTCCTCATTTTGAAATTCTTGTAAGTTTTTCGATTATTATGATCCTGAATTCCCGACCCAAGCGAATATTGTAGTTGAAGAAAATCAACTAACAAGAAGAACAACTCAAGTGTAAATGGATATTGAAACTGATTTTGGGTATTAGTTTGATATGCAATGTGATATTGTTCTTTTATTTAGTGTGCCGTTGAATTATTTTTTTGAATGCAATTGTTATTAAGGCAAAATCATTTGGTTTTAGGGTACTCATTTGTGGATTAGTATGGTTTGGTGTTCTAGTAATGTATGTTTTTGCTGATTAAAGCTATATATATATATATATATATATATATATATATATATATAAGGCAATTGACTTATAATTTTTCATCAATCTATAATTACATGTAATATTAGGTAATATGATTCCATAAAATAATAACATGAAGGCAACAAACATAACATAACTAGTGTTTTCTTGATCATAAAAAAGAAGCATCATAGTGTTTCATTGTTTCAACCAACAACCACAATAACTTAAGTTAACCAGCAAAGTATAAAACAATCACTACTTTAAGGTTAGTTGAACAACCACACAAGCACCAAAACACTAAACAGTAACTACTTTAAGTTTGGTTGAACAACCACAGAACCATCAAAACATAAAACACTATTTCAAGTTTGGTTGAACAACCACAAAACCATCAAAACATAAAACACTATTTCAAGTTTGGTTGAACAACCACAGAACCATCAAAACATAAAACACTATTTCAAGTTTGGTTGGACAACCACACAAACACCAAAATAAAAACATTCAGTAACTTAAGTTTGGTTGTTACACCCACACAACCACACAACTAAGAAGTTTTCTTTGAGGGTGATTTTCCTTTGGCTTGTGACCTTGTTTGAATGTCATCAGCTTTTGATCTGGTTTGAATACGACACAAAACACTTTCGACTTGAATTTCTCTTTGAGTCATGGCCTGTTTGCCTTTCCACTTTAGTCCTTTGGTAGTTTAAAACCAATTTCACCTGTCACATGCGCAAAACCCACCACACCAGTATTAACCCTCCTCCTGCTAGACAATCCTTGCTGCAATATCAACTACATAGTTATTTTGGGACTCACATTTAGAAGACATATAATTTTTACAGTTTTATAAGACACTTACATTACACGTATATCCAGTATCAGCAACAAATACACCTTGTCCAACAACTTTAGGCCTCTTGTAACCACTTCCTGCACCTCTTCTTGTACCAGTCTTACTGGTGCTTACTCTTTCATAGTGATCTTTATCCCTCTTTTTTTCAGTGGTGGACTAATATGAGTGGAAAAAGAACACAACAAGAGATTAAATAAATAAGTAATCTAACATAATTTATAAAAGCAAATCAATATAAATGTACCTCTTGAGTGGGTGTTGGTGTAGACTTAGGTTTAGGATTTTTTGGACAATTTATCTTGTTATGATTTGGTCCTTTGCAAATTGAACATGTCATTACTGTCCCCATTCTTGGCAACTTTCCAGATTTTCTCACTTCACCAATTTCTCTTTTTCTGTTCTTTGGTGACCTACCAGGCATTTGTCTTGCCTCAGGTGGTTTAACCATTGGGTTTTTGCTTTCAGGCCACATTTCCATGTTTGGGACTGGTTGAATGAAATGAGAATATGTCTTCATATATGTGTCTTTTCTATACCAACTAGATATTGCTTATGATGCATCCATGTTCAAGCAATTCATTGCTGCTATACCATGTGCACATGGGATACCTTTTAATTCCCATGATCTGCAACTACATTTTTCTTGACCCAAATTCACAGTATGCTTGTATACCCCTTCTAACACTTCAAATCCAACATCACCATTCCATTCAATGTTGCAATGCATTCATCTTGTTACATGTGTATTGGATACCATCATTGTCATTGGAGATATTCCATCTGTCCATGTTTCAACAAATGCTCTTGACTTACTCACTCTACTCATCACCTTAACTCTAATCTCTTCCAACATAGTTATAATGGTCTTGTTCCTAGGTCCCAAGATCCAAGAATTGAAACTCTCTGCCATGTTGTTATCTATATTATCACACTTTGAAAATGTTTGGATAAAAGCTTTGCACCATGTCTCCTTGTTGAATTTGATAAGGGATTCAACTATACCTATTCCCAGCTTGGACAGGGATTTAAATTGTACTTAAATTGTGACTCAAATGTTGATCTAGAACAAGCCCAAAATTTCTTCCTTCTCTCTAAGCCTCTGAAGTTTTATGACCAATTTGATAATATGTGTCTAGCAAACATTCTGTGCTCACATTCTGGAAATAGTTCATCTACAACAACTATTAATCAGTGTAGTTGCAAAGAAAAACAATAAAGTTAAATTTTGGTCAAATTAAATTAGCAATTAAATTAAACATAAACAAAAGAAAGATATTCAATTACCTTTTGCATATCACTCATGATAGTTAGCTGGGAACCATTTCCTAGATTAAGATCATCTTTCAGAATGGTCCTGAACCATTTCCCTGTCAACTTTCTTTCAGTATCAATTACCGCCCATGCTATTGGATACATTTGGTTGTTTGCATCTTTAGCAACAGCTACCAAAAGTTGACCCCTACAAATTCCCTTTAGAAAACACCCATCCATCCCTATACATCTTCTGCATCCTTGTTGAAAACTCTTTTTCATAGCATCAAAACAAATATAAAAAGAGTGAAATTGTTTCATCTCATTTCCTGATTCTGAATCTTTAAGCTTCACAACACAAGTGCTACCAGAATTTGTTTGGAGTAACATATCCTTGTAGTCTAGGATTCTGTTAAATTCTGCCACATGATCCCCCATAATTTCCTTTAAAATATTTTTTCTTGTTTTAAAACAAACTGCCTTGCCTACATGAACATTCAACTCTTTCCTCACCAATTCTTGTATCTCCCACCCTTTTATACTAGGTTGAGAAATAATCCTATCTTTCAGATACTTGCATAAGAACTTTGAATTACACAAAATATTATTGATGGTCCTGGTATATTTGTGCTTTGAATTGTATGTCGTGATAGTAAAGTTTTCACTCCTTCCTTCCTTCCTTGCATACAACAGCCATGGCAACCGCTTTTATACTTCACTCTCACTCTAGTACTCTCATTCACATACTTATCTAACTCAACTCCTTTTTTATAGCATATTTTGTAACTGCCTCTCTAAATTGCTTTACACTTTCAAATACCAAACCACACTGTCATATTACAATATCACAAGAAGAATCATATACCACCATATAACTCTTCTTTCTCCCCCTTAAACTCCCTCCTTCAAGTTCATCATCAGAAACAGGTTCTTCTTCATCACTTTAAAGACTATCACAGTCAGAACGGTCATAGTATGGCTCATCCTCTGTTAGCTTACCCTTGAAATTCTTTTTCCCTTTTTCAATATCCCTATACCCTTCATCAAATCCAACTTCACCTAAAAAACCTTCTATTTTTTTCTTCTTATTTCTCCTCCTACTTTCTCTAAGTTTTCTCACATCTTCCTTAACAATTCCCAACTCCTCATGCACATCACTTTCATAGTCAATAGACTGGTCTGAACAGATAGAATCACCGTCTATTTCTTCCTCTACATTTTCTTGGGCACTTGGCTCAACTTCTTCTTGAAAAGAAGGTTCAGTTCCTTGTTGGACAGTTGGTTCAACTTCTTCTTCAGTATCAGTCCAATCTATTGAAGAATAATCATCATCACTTTCTTGTTCGACCCTTGCAATTCCATCATTTTCAAGTCTTTCAGTAGCTGGAAAGGAAGAAGAAGAACCTAACCCTAGATCTGATTTATTTGGTTGTGCAGTTAAGGATTCCCCGTGTGCATTAAAAGACTCAACCACTTGACTTAAAGATTGACTAATTTGACCTTCACTAGTACCAACATCATCCAGGATAGTGTTATCACACACATAATATCTATTGTGTCCCATCATGCATAAATAATGTCATGCTACAAATGTCCATGTCATTTTTCAATTCCACCAAATCACCCCCTAGAGATGGTGTTGCATATATTTTTCCTCATTAATCAAATCAGGAATTGATAAATGATCTTCATCCACATTCTCTACATATTCAGTCCTACCCCTGAACATATACTGGACCTACCTCACTCACCAAGATACCCCCAAATTTGAACCTTAAATTGAGGTACTTATTAGTCATAGTGTCAACCTATAACCACAATAGCAATCGTTATATTGTACAATGCAAGCAACAAAATCGAAGCATATACAATAACACCAAAACAGAAGCAACAATTGGTACTTAGTATAGTAGATGTATTACTCATCAACATACAATAGGCATCCCACACAAAATACTTAAACAAATTATAAAATACCCCACCATTTAACAATACCAGAAACCCTAATACTTAGAACCTAAATTTTACCAAAAGCCTTAATTTTTTAGACTGATTATCAGAAACCTTAATGCTCATACATGAATAAGGTAAAAAACTTCATAATAATACATTCATTAAGTGAAAATTCTAGTTGAAAACTATTAGACCCCTAATCGGAAACTCAATCGGAAACTATGGCGAAACCTTAAATGAAAAATAGGGCAAAATATGAATGAAAAAGTAAAGTAAACAAACAAAAATAAATCAAGCCTTCACAAAATCGAGTGGATAATCACTTGTTAACAATTTCAGACAAGGTCCAAAGAAAATCGACCAATCGACCAAAAACTTCACGAAATCTAGAAAGTCTTTACTCCAGAACTGCAACTGGCACAAATCTACTCATTACTTTGTCAATTACACTTGTCAAATCTACTCGTGAGAGGTTTAGAGAAAAGCAAAGAGGTTTAGAGCAAAACGGAGAAGTTTTAAGATTTGTGAATTGTGAAGGTTGGTATTATCTAGGTGACAAAATATTTATCTAGGTGGCAAAATATTTATCTAGGTGTCGTGCGCGTGTAGACACGATCGTAGTGAGTGGACAGAAAAGGTGTACGTGTTGGATGAATAAGCCAAGTTCAGGGGGGGGGTAATAGAAACGAAATAATGTTTAGATGTACAATGAATAAAAAGCTTCAAGTTCAGGGGGTAATGAATACTTTTGCCTTTTCTAAATATCCAACGTTTCTCTTTTCTAAATCAATTCTCTTTTATCAAATGTCGCAAAGTTCAATGAATATCCAGAAAATTGATGTATGTAAGTATGATCATTATTGTCGACTGAAAACTTTGAGGACTCCATTAAATCCAGGTCATCAATTTTTTGAATGCAAAGCATCAAAGGTTTGTAATTATTCGAACAAAAGTTATTGTTGTTGTACTATTTGAAAAATCAACATTTTTGTATATTTATTACGCCTTATTACTGTTATGTGGTTTGTAGGAACACGATGGATGTGGATATTTTAGATGGATTGATCCGTCCTTGAAAATGTTGATGAATCATCCTTAATGAATAGATACATAGACGGTCAAACTCTGATTGATCGACTTAAGAGAAAAGTGAAAGCTCAAAGAAGAAAAAGATTCTTTGAAATTTCAATTGAATGAAAATGAATCAAAGTTGATGGTATTGAACAAGAAGCTCAAGACAGTTAAACTCCAAAAAGATTGGGAAAATGTCAAATTTAATCAAGTTGTGATTGTTTTTCTTTGTCTGCTAACTATTAAATGGTTCTTTAATATTGTGTCGTTCATAGTAATTTGGGATTGTAGTACTTAATTGTTTAGTTTTGCAGTAGTTGGAAGGCTATTCTAGATCAATTAGTGATGTCTTAATTGGTATATAACCTTTATATTTTGTATTTAATATGAAGTTTGAATTGAATTGATCACTGTCGAATTGATTACTTGCCCTTTGTTTTGAAATTTGTTCTGAAATTCAATTGATCAATGTCGAATTGAATTGGTCACTAGTCTTATTGACAAAAACACAAGGCATACATTTAGAGGTAGTGTAGTTGTTGTTCAAAAAGAGATCTAATAACACAAATGCATGGCTGGAAAATACATAACACAAAGTAATGGTTGAAAAATACATAACAAACCATTGTCTTACATGGTTCAAAAATACATAGTATTGCTAACACAAAAACAATGTTCAAAAATACATTAGACGAGTGTTCAAATAAACTAAAGAGTAACTTGTTTTTCAAAAAAACCCTTTTAACATGAGCCAAAATCATAACTACTTTCCAAATTAACTACTTCTAATTTTTCTTTTTAGCTTTCATTTGTTGCAACTGTGAGGTGCTGACTGCATCTTTTCTCTTCCATTTTAGGCCACGGAGTTTAAAATCAATGTTTATATTGGTTGGTGAAGCACTCTTCAATTTTGTTGACCTATGCAAAATCTTCTCACTTGATTACCAGGCTGCAATATAAGAAAAAAAAGGTAATATAAGGTAAGATTGTAAGGCTATCAGAAATACACAAAAAAAGAGTAAATATATTCAGTAAACATACATTAAATACTTGGGCTCCAGTTGTAGGATCAAAGTAAATATTAAAACCAGTTGCAAGCCTTTTGTTTTCTCCAGTAGCAGCAGCAAATGAGGCAGAACTGTATTATCTCCTGTGACCTGATAAAGGTTACAATTGACTAGAAGAACTAATCCTTTCAGTAACAAATGAGGTTTCTCTTGCATTAGCTTTTGTTCTTCCCAATCCTCTTTCAGTCCCAACTTGAACTCTATTTTGAGCAGGTCTTGGCACAGATGTTGTGTCAACACAAATAGAAGTTGGTTGACTTGATTGTGTAGTTGCTTATGTGATTCTTAAGTAAAATGTGATGGACCTCCCATTGTAGACTATATAGCATAAATAAGGATATATGATAACTTGTAGAACAAACAGAAAATGCAAATGAGTTACTAATGGCAAAATTCTTGGCACAGTAGTGGTATCAGGATAAACAGAACTTTGTGTTCTAACCTATTGAGCAAAAATAAGGACATATGAATAACTTATACAATAAAAATTAATGCAAATGAATATGTAAAATAAATCTTACTCCTGTTTGAGAATAACTTTGTTTGCTTGAATTTCCTTGACTTGTAGGTTGATAAATGTTCCCCCCCTCCCCCATACTATGTCACCACAAAATAAAACATATGATTATAAACTTAAAGCAATTCATAAATGTGAATATAACTAGTAATACTTACTCTTGCGCACACAACTTTGTTATGATCAGTTTTCTTACATATAGAACATCTCATCTTTACTCCTTTTCTTGAAATTTCCCCCATTTGTTTGGTTCATCCTTACTCTTTCTTCTCTTCTTTCTAGGTCTATATGGCATTTTTCTTGATTTTGTAGGCTCAATTGATGGATTTGTAGTTTTAGGTCACATCCTCATATTAGGAATAGGTTGGATGAAATGGTTGTAAGCCTTGAGAAATGTTTCCTTCATATACCAGTGCTCTACATGTTGGTCAGGATCTTGGCTCAAGTAATAATAATCACAAATAGTATGAGGGCAAGGTATACCTCTCAACATCCACAACTTACAGTCACAATGGTTCTTCTCCAAGTCAACAACAAATGAGTATTCACCATCACTAATCTCAAAATCATTCACTCCATTCCATTGAACATTACATTTATTTGAATACTCTTTTTTTTATATAGCATATCCCTTGCCATAGGTGAAATGTCTGATATCTATGTTTCATCAAATTTGATCATGTGTATATGTCTGTTCATTATTTTATGCCTAATATCCTCTAACACGGTAAATAATTGATTTATTTAACTAAGATCTAGGAATTGAAAGTCTCACATATGTTATTTTCTACAACATCACACTAGGGTGAGTATGAAAAAAGCCCTACACCAATTTATGGGATCATAATATAGTAAGTCATCTTTTATATCCTTCTTACCTAACTTAGACATTGCATGAACTTTTTCACCAAACTTGACTTCAAACGAGGCCTTTGAGCATCTCCAAAAATGTTTCTTTCTTTCTCCTTTCCAGTTCACATGCCAGTTATTCCATATAAGTCTAGCACACATCCTTTTCTCAACATTTGGTAACAATTCTAACAAGACAGGAATAAGTCCCTAACAAAAAATATATAGATAATAAGTAATTGAAGTAATAAAACTACAACTAAAATATAAGAAATTGTGTAATCAATACCTTTTGCATATATGATATTACAATCAAACGTTCACCAGTTCCCAAGTTTAGATTAGCAATTAAAATAACTAATGAACCATCTCCAACTATGTTTTGTTTCTATATTCACAACTACCCAGGCAATAAGACACATTTGATTGTTCCCATTTTTTTTTGAACAGCTACTAATAACTCACCCTTACAAGCTCCTTGAGAAAATTACCATCAAATCCAATTAAATTCCTACACCCCTCCAACCACCATTGCTTAAATGCATGAAAGTACACATAAAAATACACAAAAAGGTTCTTTCCTGATTCAATTTCCTTATCAATTTTTATCCAACAAGAGCTTCCAGGATTGGTTTGTTTGATCATATCTGCATAGTCACATAACCTGGGAAATTCCAGATTCCAATCACCCATGTCTTCCCTCATAATCTTTTGTTTAGCCTTGTAACAAAGAGTCTTACCAACATAAAGACCCAATGTCTTTCTAACCAAATCTTGAATTTCCCAGATCCTTATATATGGTTGAGATGTAATTTTGTCCTTAAACTTTCTAGCAATTAACTTTGAATTACACAGCTTGTTCCTGTTTAGTGGAATACATTTGTGAATAGGATGATAGTTCTTCACAATGAAATCACCTGAGTCCTTGTCAATAGAAGCATATAACAACCACTTACAGTTAACATTTTTGCATTTCATCTTCACTCTATGTTTTTCATTAGGCCTTAGCTTTAACTGCCTCATGTACTCTACAACATAATCTGTCATTGCTTTCCTGACTGATTTTCACCTTCAAGGACCATTCCAAGCTCAAATATTGACACTTCACAATCTTCATCATACCTAACCTTTTTGCTTCTCCTTCTAGCAGTTATATCTACTACCCTAACAACATTCACATCTAGTTGTTCATCACTCCAATAGTCAGAGTTATCAATATAATCTTCATCTCCACCCAATTTTTCTGCATATTTGTCAGTTTTATTTTTCCCAATATCCTCAAAGGCTTTATCTATACCACCGACCTCACCAACTGGTATTTCTTCAAATTCAATAGCCTTTTTTCTCTGTTTTTTGTTTCTTCTTTCTTCATTAAAAGCTCTCAACTCTTCATCAATATCTGAACCATCTTCTGAAGGTATATCTAGATCTGAATCATTACTCAAGAATCAGATGCATCTTCTCCACCTAGGTTATCATCCACACCCTCTCCATCTAGGTTATCATTCACACCCTCTCCATGTAGGTTAATATGTTCACCCTCAACAGCCTCTCTCTCTTCAGCAATGTTAACATCAACACCCTCACCCTCAACAGCCTCACCCTCTTCACCAATATTAACATCAACACCCTCACCACCAAGGTTACAAGCCTCACCTTCTCCACCTAGGTTAACAGCCTAACCATCTTCAACATTAGTTAGATAGCCTCTAGGTCTCTGAATGTCTAGTAAGGGTTCATCTGATTAATGACATACATATACTTCAAAAGTGTCCTCATGTTTTAAGTCTTTAATATGGTGTAGTAAATGTTGGTCAGTTGTAATTAGGACCCATTGTTTATTCAATAAATCCTTCACATAAATGTCTCAAACATTTTCGTACCTTAATTCTTTAGTATAATACAATAGATCCAAAATGGAAAAATGGTCCTTGATGATATACCTGAGTGCAGACACACAGTTTCCAACATAAGTAGGTACAAATATCTCGAATAAGATTCCACCATGGTAAATCTTCGTAAATATGGTTTTCTTCATGGTCAATTGTTAGCCCTACAAAATATCAAACAAACCCTACATTTAACAGAATATACTCATATAACTCATACAAACAACTAAAAAATAAAGCTTTAAAGCATACTTTCTGGGTAATAGTAAAGAATTGACATAATATTCGCAAACTCTATATTTTTACAAAACCCTAGCTTTATGGAATTCATATAACAAAGCATGTAAACAAACAATCAAAACTTACACCAGGAAAGATCGTATCACTAAGAAGAGGAATCAAACAGGAATAGAACAATTTGGAAGAAATCGCGAGATGGAGAGCTTCAAATAAGAAGAAATCGCGAAGTTAGAGAGAGAGAAGTGATTCGTGAAAGTTAACAATTTGGAATTTTTTTCCAATTTAGACATTAACAAATACACATCGGATGCACATGGTATTTTTTAAATGAACATTCAATACACGTCGAATACACATGAGGAGAATAACTACACGCGCCACACAGTTAATGAAAAGTGATAAAAAAAAGGTTGTACGGTTCAATTATGGGGTGATAGAGGTGTTCAATAGGTAATAGGTCTAGTTGGGGTGTCTAAATGAATAATGAGGACAAGTTTGAAGGGCCGCATATGACTTTGACCTTCATATAAAATTAAACAAATAAATTGATGCATCTCACCGGACATAATACAAGTAAGGTTTAACCCATCGGTGACCCGTTAAACATGACACAAACTTTCACTTAGACACCTTACCTAGAACTTGTTCATTTTAGACACCTTATGTCAGGTCCTATTGTGTCATTTTTGCTGACATGATACGGTGAGTGTAATACAATTATAAAAAGCGCGTGAAAGACATTTTTAGCATATTTTTATTTATTTTTTCTTCTTCTATCCTATTTTTGGGGCACCATTTTCCCTACCTTAAGCTCCTTCAATGGTGAAGAGAGTTTATAGTGATTTTAGAGTTGAATAAACTTCTCTATGTGGATTATATTGATGGTCAAATTAGTGAAGAATTTAATTGTTAAATCATGACAGTTCAAATTATGTGGTTGAAAGTTGACATTACAACTTCACCAACAATTTTTTTCTTCTAGATTTGGCAATTGATTGTGTGATATTTGACCTTAATTACTATATGAAATTTTTTATTAAAATGACAGTCCTTAGTTTAGAAGTTGAGAAAATGACCTCTTTGTTAGTGTATAATGGAATCATCCTACTAATAAAACTAAAAAGGATTAAGATATAACGGTCGGCGGAGAAGACGAAGGGGGTTGAGTTTAATTTGTTGGAGAAGATGACTAGGGTGGGTGGGGCAAGTTCTGCAAAGTAATTTTTCTTTAAAAATGATTTAATCATCTTTAATAATTATTTGGGGAAAAATGTCAGGTGTCATTGATTCATTGACTAATTTTTATTTTTATTCAAAATTCATATTAAAGAATTATTTGTGTCAGATGACAAATGTCTTCATTTGATTTGGTACTTTGACACGTCATCAGCGAGTGAGTTGCACTCACTTTAAATTTTTTTATTGCTTGTGAAAAAAAGGGTGTCAAAATACCCTTGAACTAGAGGAAAAGGTCTAAAAATACCATTCATCCATCTTTTGGTCTAAAAATATTCTTCCATTCATCTTTTTGACTCACTTATACCCTTAAAACTAACAAAATTCTCTCTTTATTCTTTATTTTTTTAAAATATCTATTATGTGTCATTCTCCTATTAGATAATATAAAGAGCTACCTCAATTAGATTATTTATCATTATTTATTCTAACCAAAGCAATATACTTCTTCAAGACCCCATTTTTTTAAAATTCTTTTTTTGTAGTTTTTGATTATTTTTTATTTTTGAATCCAACTCCTTTCCATTTCCAAGTTTTATTTGAACTGAATACTCACGACATAAGAAAAAAATTAACAGCTAATGTTTGATTATTTAAATCAAGATTCTAAACTTGATATAGATGATTAATATTTTATAAACAAATTTATCATGTCATAATCATAACAATATATTATTTATTCACAAATACATTTCACAGATTTTTCTCTATTTTCCTACTTATATTTTTCATGGCTACGACCAGCCATCTGTTTTTTTTAAATGAGTTAATATTTTAAGTAAAATTGTTTGTGGGACTTTTTCTTCGAAAAGTAGTTATAACATATTAGCAAAAAAATTGAGCTGAGTTTTTCTATTTATTTATTTATTTTTAAAAAGGAAGATAGATAGTGTGGAACTATTAATATTTCTATGGTATATTAATTATTTAAAATAAACTTCTAAACTTTTTATAGAGAAAATACAAAATTTACTAGATTTTTTTAATTAAAAAAATTAGAATTTTGAAGAGGTATATAAATGTAAATAGATTGTGGGGAAAAACAAATGGAGATGAGATTTTATTTTTATTTTATCTAATAAGAAAATGACAAATAATAAATTATTTTTTAAGAAAAATAATTAAATTTTGGTTGTTAGTTATAAAGGTATAAGCTAGTCAAAAGGTGAATGAAAGGGTATAAGCGATCCAAAAAGGAAGAAAATGACATAAATAGTCTCTTAACTGTAGGAGTGGGTCTAATATGGTTCCTTAACTATACACTTGACGGATATAGTCCTTTAACTATTCAAAATTTAGTCAGCTTTGGTTCATTAACTATACACTTACTGATTTTAGTCCCTTAACTATAAAATTACCGACTTTAGTCCTTTAAGTATTCAAAAACTTATCAGGTTTGATTTTTCCATTTTTTAAAATACAAATAGCTTAGGTTTATATGAACGAAATCCATTTCTCGAGAAATTAAATCTTTTAACAATTTTTTTCTGTTGTTTCTCTCTCTGTGTGTGCTTCATTTTTCTTCAAATTAAGCTTATGCGAAGAACCTTAACCTTAACGATTCAAATAAAATTCATGAGCAAAGAAAATATAAGTCATAATTTTATTCAACAAATGATAAAATGAAGCATATTTATTTCTACTAATGATTTGAATATGCTAAACTTTATTATAAAAAGAAAAAAATTATTTCCCATTAAATTCAATGTTTGTACTCCAACGACTTCATCGAGCGAAATTTGTTTAAAATTTTAGAAATTGAAATTTATAAAATGGTATATTTCTAATTTTTTAAAATTATTTTTGAATAAATCAATTTTATTATTCTATTCATTTTATTTTATGTGAATAATTTGAGTAAATCAAATAAAATCCACACTAATTAAAATATTCAAGTGCGACTTCAAGTCATTAACAATAATATATGCTTAATTTTATCGTCTATTGAATAAAATTAGGACTTATATCTTGTTTCCTCAATAATTTTATTTTGAATCATAGAGATTATTGTTCTTTTTATAAAAGTAATTTGAAGAAAAAAGGGTGGGGATAGAGAACAACCTTAAAAGTGGGTTAAAGACTTAATTTTACGAATATTTTTGTTAATATAAAGCTATTTGTATTTAAAAAATGGACAAAGATCAAACCTGATAAGTTTTTGAATATTTAAAGGACGAAAATTGGTAATTTATAGTTAAGGGACTAAAATCGATAAGTGTATAGTTAATGAACCAAAGTTGACAAGTTTTTGAATAGTTAAAAAATTTTATATGTTAAGTGTATAGTTAAGCGACCATTTTAGACCTATTCATCTAGTTAAGAGACTATTTGTATCATTTTACCGCCAAAAGGTGAATGAAAGGGGAGCCCAAAAGGTAATGGAAGGGTAATTTTAGACCAAAAGATGAACGGAGAATATTTTTAGACTTTTTCCTTGAATTTGTTTGTATACACTGAACTATTTTTAAAAAAGTTCTCTCATATGTTTCAATTGATCATTTAAGTCCTAAATTTATTATTCTATAAAAATAATTGATATTTTAATCATAATAATATTATCAATGTATATTTTTATTTTATTTTTCACTGTGTGCTGACGCTATTGGGCAGGGCCCTTCCCCATAAGGCCCCATGGTCGGGACACAAGCGCCCTCTAGCTACCCATATGTGATATGCCGTCTTAGCCTTCCCTGACCAGGATCGCTCCCACACCTGTAGTGTTCGTGATCGGCCTCCTCAACTGTGTATCGATCGAAAGGCAGGGCAGCACAACCCCCAACCAAGGGAGTGGTTACGTCCAATATGTCCCCCCTTATTCCCGACATGCTATGGTACCCCAGAGTGGATAGAAGTGGGTCGAGTCCGTATCGCCGCGAAGCTACAGTCACGTCTAAGATCTGATCTATTTACTCGGCAATTCATCCGGTGACTTGACGATCGCTAAAGAAGCTCCAAAAAGCATCAAACATTTCCGATGAGATATTTAATATTAATGTTAAAGTTCTAGTAAATTCAAATTCATGTCACAAAATTTTATCGAAGGATAGGGCGTCGCCTAAATATGATAGTACTTAAGATTTTAGAACTTTTAATTTTTCTTTTTTTGGTTTTGTTATTGAAGTGGTAAAAATGTGAACAAAACCACAAAAAAATGGTAGGAGGCAGTTTATGCAGTATATTTTTTTCTTTCTGATATTTCACTAAACATATTTTTTGTTGCAGTCATTTGATTCAAATTATTAATTATTCATTTATTCAGTGAAATAGAAACAAAAGAATATCACAAAATTATATTGAGAAGATGTTATAACAAATTCCGATTAGATGGGAAGTAAATAGGCTTCACATTTTCATCTGTAAGTAAAATTGTAACAACTATACAACAACAAATAATAATATCACTTAATTGCAGAAAAGCATCAAACAGGAATTAGATATTTATCAAGGAAACAAAAACAAAGGCTAAAGTACTACTATATCAACATATCTTCTGACCTGGTACTTGAATACGAATAATCATTCATGATTAATAAAATCCCTAAAAAAGTAAATTTATTTTCCTATTTTTAATCTTTTAATTTGTAAAGCTTGTAAAGTATCCTCAATAATTTTTGTAGGCATTGTTTTTAGTATTAGTTAAGATCTTGTATACTCAACTCACCTTTCTCATAAGTATTGGGTTCACATAAAT